GCCCAGTACTGACCTCTCTCCCAATGCTCTTATTTTATGTCCAGTGCTCTTTCTTTGGGACGTACTTGTGGATTCAATAGGTTTGGTAGTTATTATACCTTCGTGGTGATTTTTAAATTGCTATTTGTTTGATTATAATTGAAGTTAAACCAACAGATTATATATAATTCAGTATAATCATTTCAGAGGGGTTTAGTGTATAAACTCTGTTGGAGAATTGCCATATGTAGCTTGGGGACATTTTCTTCATTTCTTAATCTGTAGTTCTTTAAGCCCTAATTGCAACATTAGCTTTGATCTTGAAGATGCTTGAAAAGGAAAGAGGAACATTGTAGAGGAAGTTGTAAATTAAAAGATGGCTTAAGAGTTGATACAACTGTCACTTGAGGAGCAGAACCAGGCAAGTTGTGCATCATAAGAAAAATCAATTAAAAAACTAAAAGGCAGCAAAATCTAAAAGAGTATATATCCCTTTAAGGAAGAAGCTTGGTTAAAGAGAGTCTGGTTAGACTTTATGCTATCAAGTAACTGTACTCCATCAACAACAGGACTGGGTGGGGAAGATGTTTTATAAAGTAACTTGGGTGAAAATTGGTAAGATACACACCTGTGGGCATTTTGAGGGAGGGTTAAATATGAGGATGCTAGCTGAATGAATAACTTAAGCCTTGGATGTGGTCCAGTTGGAACAAACTGTTGGAGGGGGTGGAAACTGTAGAAGGAGGGGACTGATTTGAAAAACTGGGTCACTGGGAGTGACCTGTGAGTGCAGACTTGGCCTGGCCACTCCCTTGTTTACTTGGCTTCCTGTCCTTCATCCAATGAACAGACTTGAAACAACCATATATTCTCACTACAGTCCAGAAACCAAGAAGCTGAATGGAATGAGACTTCAGAAACCAAGAGCTAAAATGAAGCTTTCTCTACCTAAGTTGTCCTGTCAATTATTTTCATTGCATTAATCCCCTTCCCCAATGAAGCCTGTTTCACTAAAGTGAAAAGGGGGAAGAGTGTTCAGTTCCTATGTACTGTGATCTAAAGAGTAGCCTCCCTCAGACTGTGAAAACCCTACACACTAGGACACCAGTACCCCTGGCAGTCAACAAAGCACTTCAGGGGCGGGCTCTGGAAATGGCAGAAGGAATTAGCTTTGGGTTGTGACTATGTGCACAGAATAAAACCAACAAAGACTAAGGCTGTGAGACTCCTGATGTGCTGGGTTCTTTTTTAACAAGGGTGTTTTTATTCTCAGCTTAACTCGTGTATAAGAAGGAAAACAGTTTGGCATCTCACTGTTCCTCAATCCGTGCATAAATATGCTTAAAGATATTCCTAACATCCTGGAACATTCTCTGATCAGTAGGTCCGAAAGATGACCCAATTGTTTAGAAAACAAAGCAAACAAAGGGGGAAAAATGGCATGTTTGGGTAGCAGAGATGTCTGTTTTATTTGGAAATATTCCATTAATCTGTTAGGCTTGTAAGCACTGGTTTGCCTCTAACAGAGAAGTAGTGTCATGGTAATCCAGTGACATGAGCTGCTACTTACAATCAGTGTTTTCCCTTCCCTCCATGAGAATTGTTATAATAAGCAGGCCATTGATGTGGGTGGCCACCCCATCACTGACAGAGGCTGGAAGGGATGCCTTTCCTCAGACTGTTCACTACATCTCTTATGGAGTCTAAAACCCATTTGGATAGTTGTTTCTTGGACCATACAGGCCTTCTGTTCATTGATTTTATTAAATCTACATTTAAAGTGTAAACATCCCTAGGATCAAAGACTCATTAAGTATTTCATTATATTTTAACTTGACCACTAGCTGACAGGGTATTGATATTGGGCTGTCTTTCTCCATTCCGGTAATGGGATATCCCTTCCTTTAGTCCAGCTCTATGCTTTCCAGTGGCAGCTGCCAGGCAGAGAGAGAACTCTTCCCCCACTTTGTTTCCCCTCTAGCCTGCCACCCAGTGGAGGGTCCATGATGTAAACCTATTCATCCATCATCTCCCAGCCCAGGCCACATAGGGTTACACAGGGATGAGTACCCAAACTCAAGTCAGATAGCCTTCTCTTGGATGTTTTTCCAACTAAAACTGCTAGGAGATGCTTGCTTTCTTCTTACCAGAGATGATAAGTGTAGATCGTTTCTGCCCATAGTCAGCTTTTATCCTCTACTGACATCTAACTTAAGACAGAGGAGTGTCAGTGCAGAAAGAAGCAGCGGTGGATGACAAAGAGCGCCCTGAGGGTACCCTAGACTCCACTTCATTAGTTAATACTATCTTCTTTCTTGATTCGTTTCCAAGAACCACAAATCATCCTTTCTCCTTAAGCTCTTGTGCCTAGGGCATCTGCCATTTGGTCTGAGAACCCCAAACAAACATTTTACGAAAGATCCAAGAAAACTGGGGAAGACATAGTAGTATAAGTCTAAAAATGCATGCATGTGTGTGTGAGACAGAGAGAGAGAGAGAGAGAGAGAGAGAGAGAGAGAGAGAGAGAGAGAGAGAGAAAGGAAAGAATTGGTCTCTTACATACAAGCCATTGTGTAAGAAAAGTTCCTGTATATCTTTTCACACAAGTTTGAAGAAATTAAGAGGCATAGCAAGGTGACCAGGTATCTTAGAATGCCAAGTAATACTAGTCTGGGACCACGATGAACTCGAAAAAATCTTAGATTGTTGAGTTCAGGGTAAGGCTTCACAGTAGGGACTGACTGACTGTTAGGATGTGCAAATAATGACTTAAGAGGGGGTAGAGAGGTGGCTCAGAGGTTAAGAGCACTTACTGGTATTGCAGGGGACCTGGATTTGGTTAAGTTCAGTTCCCAACACCCACCTGGCAGCTCACAATAGCCTAGATGTGTATTGCATGCATTCATACAGGCTCACACACATACACATAAACACAATAAAGAAATCTAAAAAAAGAATTAGTGACAGTCCAGTGATTTGGTTTCCTCACCAAATAACACAAGCAACTTGTAGGATGACAATAGGCTTACAATGACTGCTAAATTTTTATTTATATATTTTAATCAGTATATCAGATAAGGGAGTTACTTTTTTCTTCCCTTCAATACCATTTAAATTTTGACCTATCAGAATATCTAAGAGGTATTCACTTCAGAAGTGTGCAGACTAAACCTGGAACCAGAGAAGGAAGCTTAGGATGGCCCCTGCACAAGGATGACGGGAGATACCAGAGAATCCCGGGCACTGGCTCACAGTGAAGCTGGGGACAGCACCTCCTCTCGGCCTCGGGATGCCGAGACCACCGCTGGGGACTGATGGCAGTAACGTGAAGGTCTTAAGCCTTCTGGTCGACCAGCTCAAGCCACCACCAGCCCCACAATTGGCCCATGTCGCACGCATAACAGCCACCAAGCCATCCTTTAGACTACCGGTGCAATCTCCTACACAGAGACCCTTCCCACCATTCCCGCCGCCTCCGGGACACACTGGCCAGCTTGCCTGGACTCTCGTCACTCTAGCCCCTCCCCCCCAAAGAAAACCAAATTCATATTAAAACCTTTACCATGTAGTCAGGATGCTGGGAGTGTCCCCTTTCTGAAGCTACTTCATCGCCCACTTCTTCCTCCTCCATTTGTTCCCAAGTTGCTCCTCGTTTTCCAGCATTATTTAGAGTAAGAAAGGAAGCCAAGGTAAGAACAATGGTATGTTCCTGGCTTTGCAGGGAGGACACACATCAGATAATGACCTTTGCCCCTGGGGACTGGAGCTTAGCCTGAGATCACAGGGCAGAAATGAGCTACTGTATACCAGAGAGAAAATGTCCTTGGTCCATTGAAGCCAAGAGGTGCACCTGCTTTAGTAAATGATACTACCTGCCCAAGATTGCTTGGCTGAGTTAATCACCGTTTCTGAACTTCTTTTGCTCTAATGGAGACTACTTTTACACTTGACAGTTATTCTTAAAGAACCATGCATGGGATTGTCTGTAAACTGTATCTGGCACACACTATTGACTATTAACTCAAATTATTGCTAATGAAGACAGCTTGAGGGGTTTTGCTTTGTTTCCCTCCATCCCATATGTGTTTATAGCTTTTTGGTAGCAGAAGTTGTTCTGCCTTTTCTAAATCAATGGAAAACCAGGGATGGTGGCCCATGCCTACAATCATGGCATCCGAAGGCTTTTGAGAAAAGATCAAAAGTTCCAAGCCAGTTTGGGCTGTGTAATGAGACTGTCTCAAATACTACCACCACAAATCCCTTTGAAAACTAATGTAGAGGGCCCTGAATTTGAACCCTCTACTACCCACATAAAAGCTGGGCCAAGTGGCATATGTCTGTAACCCCTCGAGCTTGCTGAGCAGCCGGTGGAGCTGGAACTGTTCCTTATCACTCTGTCAGAAGGTTCAGTGAGAAATGCTGTCTCAAACATCAAGGAGGGAAGCAATAGAGAAAGCTCTTGATACCAATGGCCATCACAGGCACCTGAACACACACACACACGCCCACGCATCTATATAGCCATTAAGGTTGGTCTGAACGACACAGATTTCATTCCCAAGTCCCATTCCCTGTTGGTTCCTGCTTCCTTCATCCACTGGCAAGGAAGATTTTACTTCTTCTTTCCTTGTGCCTGTCTTGGCCTGCTGGCACTCCTAGGCCCCCTCGAGAGCCTCAGACCTTAAAGTGTCCTGTCCTCCTCCTCCTGCTCTGCCCTTCCCTCTCTGCCACCCAGCATTTCTCAGATGCATTTCAGCCCAGCTCACCACATACAGAGACATACCTTCTGCAGCTGCTGATTCCTTATCCCTGTGTCAGAAGGTCAAAGCAAATCCAGCCTGGAGTTTACAGATCTGTGCCGCCTCAGCTCACATGTTGTCTTACCGAGCCCGGCCAGGCCAGCTTCTAGGCCAGAATGCTGCCAGGCACAGGGCCTGGCATGGTGTTTTTGCTTCCAATCAGTCTGTATGTATCACCCAGGATGAGGGCTCAATGTGCACCTGTCACATGGCAATACTGACCTCCAGGGAAAGGCCTTCCTTCACAGAGAGTCTTCATCTTCTCATTGAGTTCCAGGACAGTAATGGCGGCCTCTTGCTTAGCTACTGCCAAATCAGTTTGTAGCTTTTTCACTGTCATTTTGTGCTTTAGTTTCTTAAAAAAAAATAAGAATTTCCTGTCACTGGAGACGGTAGATGCATCAAAGGAATCAAAGGAATTAGTGGTGTCTGGGCAAGCATTGCTTCTGAAGCCCTGTTTAGGGGTAAAACTTCATTTCTTGGGCAGTGGAGGCTGGGGTTTGTCTAGATCTAAAACCTGTGGTTTGGATACTTGGAGAGAGGCAATTAGAAAAGCTCTATTTGTCATTTAGCATCTACTACCAGGATGCTAATGCCTCAAAGTATCAGGTTTCTACACCAACCTGTAAGCAGATTCACGAGAGACAACCAGAGCCTTGGTTAGGAGTCCGGTCCGTCTACCCTGACATTTGAAGTTTTTCTGCATTCAAATGAACCCTGAGTGCATGCTGCTACCAGGAAGTACAGGAATGTAGGCACTTGCAGATACTTATTGTGGCCTCTGTAAAGGGAACATGGTCAGGTCTAAACCTTCCTGGGAACTCTATTGGGAAGTATTTACATAACAGAAGGGTTCACACTGATCCTTTATGGATTTCAAAATGGATTTGATTCATCAGAACTGGACTCATCTGCAGAAAGGGAGCCAGTTTGTTAGAACAAGTGCTGCTTTCGCACATTCGTGTTGCTCTTGGGTAGCTGCCTTCCCACTGGAGAGCTCACCTTGCCAAGTCTTTGTGGCTGATAATTAAGAAGCCCAGAGAACGAACAAAAAACAGTGCTTGTCAGACACAAATCTTGAGATAGGGGAAGGAATGGTCACTAGGAAAGAACCTACTCGTCTCTGGTCTCTGGCCTCTGAAGGGCGTGGTCTCGGGCCCCAGGAAGTCAGCCTCTTTTTTTGTTGTTGTTTTTTTTTTTTTTTTTTTTTTTGGTTTTTTGAGACAGGGTTTCTCTGTAGCTTTTGGAGGCTGTCCTGGAACTCACTTTGTAGACCAGGCTGGCCTCGAACTCACAGAGATCCGCCTGCCTCTGCCTCCTGAGTGCTGGGGTCAGCCTCTTAGTGTCAGAAGCCAGTGAAATCAGCTAGTCAAACACAGGGTTAGAAGGGCACAGATTTCAGGTTCTAAAGATGGGTGACAAGGCAAGGGATGCAGCTAAGCGGGAAAGCAAAATCAGAAGCAGATTGCCAAGCTTTGCACTGTTTCCCATGCCTGTAACCCCAGCAATCCTTGGGAAGTGAAGGGAGGAGTCGCAACAGGTTAAGGTTATTCTTGGTCATACATCAGAGATCAAAGCTGGGGTGGGCTATGGGAGACCATCACTTGTGAAATAAAAACAGAGATAGACTGTCTTTCAGACAACACAGGATAAGAACATCATAAAATCTTAATGATATCAAGATGGCTAAAAGAAAAAGAACAATTCAAAGGAATGGTAACAAAGGAGCCTTTCTCCGGGGAACTAGACAGCTAGCATATGGCAGGGTTTACCTTGGGCAGTCCACAGACCAGGTACCCTGACTCCTCCGCAGCCTTCCCCATTACATTATGACGCATCTCCTGATTATCAGGAATTGCCTAGGGTTGGCTGACTGCTGAAATCAAGACCATTAAAATCTCGTAGTTTCTCCCCTTCTTCTGAGTGTCTAGTCACTAAAACCATTCATGATTCACCTTGGGAAACAGATTAGTTCCGGAAGAGACTGCGCTGAACGGGGAGTGTGTCAGGAAAAATGCTCACAGTCAGTTGTCAAATTGTCAGGCAGACCTGTATCTCCTCTCAGGAGCTAGCTTGAGCCAGATTATTCTTAAAGATCTTGTCTGCCCCAGGCCAGCAACAATGGCATCTGGGAGGCTCAGGGCTCCTGCTCCCTTTTCCTGTTGATTTCTCAAGAGAATTGCACACTCCGGATTTTCACCATGCCTGTTATAACTTAGAACCTTGGAGATAGAGGAATACGGACATTAATACTGAAGACAATGAAGAGATGTACAACAAGAGGGAAAAGGAGGAGACATGAACTAAAAGTAGAAGAAAGACCTAATAATGAAACACACGGCAAAACTTGGAGAACTAGATGTACTACTGACGGGGCCAGCTACACCGACATGCACAGAACAGCTCAGTGAGAAGGAACTGGTAGAGAAACAGACGTGAGACACGCTGAGGGATGGAGTGAGAAATCTAGGACTTTGATATGTATTTGTTCACATGACATGGCTCCAGTGTCTCTGTATGATTGGGGTTTAAAAAAATATTGAGGATGAATTAAGAATTGAGAATTTACTTTCCTTATGATTTTTTTTAAAAACTTTTTTCTCTTGAGACAGTGTTTTGCTGTACCTCCCAGGATGGCTGCAGACTTGAGATCTTACTTCCTTATAGATGTGTGAACACTGGTCATTCTTAATAGTCTATATTCACTTTCTTAAGCCATGTTAAAATTGTTTGAAGAGAAGTGTTTTTCTAGAAGCTTTTCTCAAAGTAGGCATTGATCATGGGTAAACAAAGTAATAAGTAAAGGTTACCTGGTGAGAGTTGGTGAACTATAACCTTGAGCTGACATGATAGTTGTAATTCGAACCCTGTCAGCTTGATTTTTATTTCTTGGTGTTTGAATTCAGATCCTTGCATACACTAAGAATGTATCCACCTCCAAACTGTGCCTCCAACCCCTCAACTATTGATTTAAGATATTTTACTTTTAAAAAACTGTAACTTCAAGACCAAATTATTCTTCTCTTAAGGTAGCCGTGTGTCAACCTTTTCTTATTATTATAACATTTATCTGCTTGCCTTATGACCTAATAGGGAAAGTGAGGCTGTTTTGTTTGGAGAAAACGGTATCCAAGGGCATTCATGACAGTTGACTCCAGCTATCTAAGGGACTATTCAAGGGGAGAGGAAGTTGAGTCAAACCGTGCTGTTCTAGAGATACCATGAAGAACAATGGGGAGAAAACATGAGGAGGCAGGTTTTGGCAGGATATGAGAAACACTCCCCAACAATCAGAGCTGCATCCATAATAAGATAGGATGGGTCCTGGCGAGGACCTGCAGCTCTGGGAATGATCAAGCAGAGACAGGAGGAACATCTCCAGGCAGGCCCTGGTAACTTTGGAAGCTGGGTCAAGAGGTAATTCAGAGTCTGGCTCAACCCCCAGTTCTTTCCATCTCTGGCCCTTCCCACTCACAGAAAGGGCACAGTGCAGGTACAAAGAGCCCAGGCTCTGAAGCCTGGGGGCTGTTAGAATCACCAGGGACATTTTAAAGATGATTCTGGTTATTTGGAAGAAATTGGATAAGAAGACCCATGGTTCTTTTACAGTTTGAGGATGATATGAATCAAAACATTCATTTTGTTATTTAGCTGAAGGAAAAAGGTTAGGGGAAGTTAAATTTATGTTAAAAATTAAAAAAACCCTAGATGGGTTGCATAAGGTTTCTATGGGAAAGTTTTGGTTATTTAAACACTCCTTAGAATAGTTTAACACCTTTTTTTTTCTCTGTAAGTCATAGTTTTCATGGAACCCTTTGGGCAGTTAGAAAACTTCAATTTGCCAATGTGTCTGTATTAGTCAGGGACATCAAATGATTTCAACAATGATAATATTTTCCTTTGCTTTTCTTGGCATTCACTAGCCAGGCAACCCAAGTTTTGTACTTGAATTCAATGAAGTCTGTTATGGTCACCCTGGTAACCAGGGACTCTCTTTAGCCATCACTGAAAGGATAGGAGGGCTTCTATTGCTGGAGCTACATTCCTATTACTTTGCTGTTTTCCTATTTCTCCCAAAGAGTGGAAAGAGGGAGGAAATCATGTATTTGTGCAATGTTTTGAAAAGGAAATATTTATCTGTATCATATTGCTGAATGGCTTGCATTATAATAAGTCAAGAAATAGCCAGGGAACTATTTATAGAGGAGTTTCAACACAGAGCTGTTAATGATATTGTAAATTAATGGGTATTTCCACATACTTTGAATCATGGCCTTGTACTATGCAGCTGTGTCTTGTCACTTAATGGTCATGAGAAACTGGGCCGGTCACATGTCGTTGACAAGCTCCATCCTTATTGCGGTGATCAAATGACATAGCATGGAGATATGCATCCTATTCTATGTTTGTAGTAATGTTTGTTTTTATTGTTATTCCTTGAAGCATATAGGACATATGTTAGCCCTTCACTAACAAATGAACACATCTTTATAAAAGATGTCCGTTTTTATTCTTTATAAAAAGTGAATCTGTATTTATCTGAAAGAAATACTTTACTCTTTATAATTTTCTGCATGGTTGCCTTGATTTCTTTTTTACTTCACAGGGATAGAGAAAATGTAACTTAAAATGCCCTAAAAATATACATGCGAAAGGCTTGGTCCTCTCTTCAGTCAGTGCTGGCCTGATGCCTGGGTGAAGTCAGTGGATGCCTATGTAGAATGAGTTGATTAGTGTTCTAAGGCTCTAGTTCACATTTCCAGGGCAACACACTTATCTCTACAATAGCAAATATTTCCCCCATGTGTGAAATCCAACCTTCATTTCTTATATCACAAAGATGAAAATGTCTACGGATGATCACTAAGAGCATGCTCACTACCCCAGATGTAGGACAGAATGGATTTGAATTCAGAATGCAGAGTTACATTTCCTCTTTCAGTCCTTTTCCAGTTAATAAAGCAGTGAACATAGGGTATCATTAGGGAGAACTGGTGGGCAAAGGAGTTAAGAGTGGGCTGGTTTAAGCCACAGAAACAGTTGACCTGAACAAGGTGGAGCTCTTAGACCCCAGATTGATGGCTGTGTGGAAAACACGGGACTGACCCAGACCCCCTGAATATGGGTGTCAGTGAGAGGCCTAGGTAATCTATGGGGCCTTGGGTAGTATTTATCCCTGGCATACAAATAGACTTTGAGTGCCCATCCCACAATGAGGGATGCTCTCTCAGCCGGGACTCTTGGGGGAGGGCCTAGGCCCTGCCCTGGATGAAATGACAGACTCTGGAAATGCACCATGGAGGGTCTCACCCTCCCTGGGCATCGGAGTGGAGATTGGGTGGGGGGCTGGGAGGC